ATTATAGTTTATGTTTATAATAATCTATTGTACATTTCAAAATAGCTAGAAGAGAATAATCCAAATGTTTCTAGCATAAAGGAAAAAAACCCAAATATTTAAGGTGATGGATATTCCAATCACACTGATTTGACCTCTACAAATTCTATGAATGAATTAAATTATCACATGTACCCTGAAAATATGTATACCGAAGTATCAATAAAAAATTAAAAATAATAAAACCAAATACATAATGTTAATATGTAGGAAAAAATTTCATGTTTTCCATTCCTTTTATTAAAACCTTTATGTTTATCATTAAATAATTAATAACTAAATAAATATTGTTTTGTGAAATTGCTGTGAGTAATTGATATTTTTTTCTGGTTGTTCTACATTAGAAGCTCCGAATTCCATCACATAAATATTTAGTCTTTGAAGAAAACACATATATATTTCTAAATCTAAGCAGTTCTATAATGGTGTCATGAGATATAATGTTTCCAAAGAAAACTTTTGACTTAGGGTACACATCTCAAAGTGGACATAACCATAAAGTAAAGCATTAGGTTTTGGATATTGCTTATACAAATGATACAAAGATTATAAAGAATTGGAATAATTTCCAGGACACTCAAATTGCATCTAAGATACTAAATAAAGTTATATCCCTTTGCCATGTTGATTTATCAAAATAAAGGTTCTAGATTAACATTTTAGACCATATACAAAGACTAGTGCTGCTAAGTTTTGAAACATAAAACAGGTACTGCCCTCATAAAGAATTCTTATTCAATAAATGGTGCTAGGAAAATTGAATAGCCACATATAGAAGACTGAAACAGGATCCACACCTCTCACAAAAATCAAATCACAGTGGTTAACAGACTTACACATAAGGCATGAAACTATAAGAATTCTAGAAGAAAATGTTGGAAAAACTTACAGACATCGGCCTAGGGAAAGAATTTATGAAGAAGACCCCAAAGGCAATCACAGAAACAACAAAAATAAATAAATGGGACCTGATCAAATTAAAAAAGATTCTGCACAGCCAAGGAAACTATCATGAAAGCAAACAATCTACAAAATGGGAAGAAATATTTACATGCTATGCATCTGATAAATGGCTAATAACTAGAATCTATTTAGAACTCAGGAAAATCAGCAAGAAAAATATCAAACAACCCCATTAAAAAGTGGGCAAAAGACATCAAGAGAAATTTTTCAAAAGAAGAGAGACTAATGGTCAACAAACATATGAAAAAATGCTCATCTCTAATCATCAGGGAAATGTAAATCAAAACCACAATGAGATATCACTGAACTTCAGTGAGAATGGCTTTTATCAAAAAGTCCCAAAACAATAAATGTTGGTGTAGATGTGGAGAGATAGGAACACTCATACACTGCTGATGGGAGTGGAAACTAGTACAACCTCTGTGGAAAGTAGTACAGAGATACCTCAAAGAGCTACAAGTAGAACTACCATTTGATCCAGCAATCTCATTACTGGGCATCTACCCAAAGCACCATCTGGGTGTTGGACACACTTGAAGCTCTGACTCAGCTGGAGCAAAGGCAATATATGTAACCTAAACATTTATATCCCTGTAATATGCTGAAATAATAATAAAAAAAACAGGTACTGAAATCCATCTAGCAAAAACTGTCTGAAGAAGTCATATTTTGAGAATAGAGAAAATTCATGCTTTAGTATAGAAAAAAATTAGTAAGACCAAGTAAAGCTACACAAAGTGTATCAATCAGTAAGTTGGTTTTACTCAGCATTAATTTTATGTCTCATTATGAATTGAATTGTATAATTTTGAAAAACAATAAAACATGAGCTTTTAAAAAATGTATAGTCTGGTATAGAGTCAGGCTTACCATACTTGAAATAATTAAGAAAAAAATGTAGTATATAAGATGCTATATAGGCTAATTTTCAGATTTATAGTTTTTTTCTACCATTTTTGCTTTGTTCATATTTGGATTGAGAAAGAAAAACAAAATACTGCAATATTTAGTATATTTCATGATTTTTAAGTTATATACATGATACTTGGTAATTTTGGATAATATTAAAAATTCAAAACAGCAAAAGTATAAAAGTTATATGACAGTATACTATATGCTAGGATATTTTTTGTCAACACGTTGATATATATCCTTCCTATTAAACAATTTTGAAATCCCTAATATATACCATAAAGTATTCTTTTGTAAGTATTTATGTATTTATATACCTTAATTCCTTATTCTGTTAATATAGCATAATTTATAGCATATATTTTACACATATGGATGAGCTAAACTGAATAGCATTCCATCTTATCATCCATGAGAAATCATGTATTCTTAATGTCATTATTCTTCCTCAGATTGACCCTCCAAAATGCACTTTAACTACTCTGTGAGTGATTTTCATGGATTCCACGAAAGAGTTAATGTCAATTTTATACATATGGCTTTGAAATAGTAAATATAGATACCCATTATCAGTAGAATCAGTACAAATGATCATATATTAACAGCTGCAAGGGTAGATAGAATATGAAATTTGGAGAAGATATCAAATAATAGTTCTCTCTTATATTGGGAATTACAAGGTACAAGAGCCACAGGTTTATGTAAATTGTATGGTTATACACATATCTGAGAAAGAAAAACATGAAAAAAAATTTGGAAAGGGGGAAAGATGATGATTGGTCCATTTTGTTATAATGATTTTGAGAAACTCATAAGACTCCAAATGTTAAAGTCTAGAGTGAACCTGCTAGATCTGATCATATCAATTTGGGGGCGAGAATAGCATAGATGGCATTTGAAACAAGAGCTTGTGTTAAGTTAAATAAAAAGTGTATTTAGAATGAAAATAGCACAAGGCCAAGGGGATGGGGAGGAAACCAACATTTCTGGATGACTAGAAGAAGAGAATCATGAAAACTAAAAGGTAATAAGACAGAAAAGTAGAAGACAGAGAAGAAAGTTCAAGAAATAAGTGATTAATACTGTAATAAAAATATTAAAGAGAGGTGACATGAGAAGAGAAATAAAACATTACACTCGATTTATTTTTTTTCCATGACTGACTCTGTTCAGGGCAGTTTTGGTGAAACAGTGAGGGTGGACAATGGTAGAAACTGGCCACGAGATGAACAATAAAGGGGAAGGAGATGACCAAGTAGATTCATGAGCACAGACCTTTCTAGCAAGGAGCTCAGCTGTTAAGAATGGCAGAGATGATGGGAGGCTGAGGCAGCGGGATGGGTTGATGTCAGAATTTCGAGGTCATAGTGAGCTATGATCAGGCCACTGCACTCCAGCCTGGGCAACAGAGGAAGACCTCATTTCTAAAAAGAAAAAAAAAAAAAAAGGCGGAGATGATAGGACAATTGCTTGAGAAGAATTTGAGATTGATACCCTTTAATAAAAGTGAGAAAGAAAATATTTGAAGTTTTTAAAGGAAATTTTGAAGAATTTTTAAATGAAAGCATAGTTGAGTGACGGAATAAAGGTCCCTGTGAAGATGGCTTTTAGTAAGAGTACGGAAAACTTACCACTATGCTAGGAAAAAAGAAAATGTGGTATTTTATGGAATGAAGAATGAGGTTAAGGGGTTTCTCTCTTCATGCCCTCATTGTTTTAGCAAAGTGGAAGGCCAGACCAACCTCAGAAAATGAGAAGTAGCAGAAGTGTTATGAAATGAATTATGTCCTCTCAAATTCATATGTTGGAGACTTCATCTCTAGTACCTCAGAATGTGACCTTATTTGGAGAAAGGGTCTTTACAAAGGAAATCAGGTTAGAGTGAGTTCATTTGAGTGGAGATCCAATATGACTGGTGTCCTTATAAAAAGGAAATAAGTGGACACAGAAGTCATCTAGAGGGAAAATGATGGGAAGAGACATAGAGAAGACAGCTGTCTCCAAACCAAGGAGAGAGGCATGGCACAGACCCCTTCCCCACAGGCCTCAGAAGGAACCAACCCTGCCAACACATTGACTTTGGACTTGTAGCCTCCAAAACTGTCAGACAATAATATTCTACTGTTTAAGTCACCTAGGCTGTGATATTTTGTTATAGCATCCCTAGAAAAGTAATACATAGGGTTAAATAATACATAGGTAAAAATAAAATAAATTAAAATATTTTGCTGAAATTATTTATGAAGAGGTCTAATGTTTTTTCTATTTAAAAAAGGCTAAAATTTGTACCTAGGTATATGGTAATTGTCCTAGATTTTATATTTTATCTTATTTATGAATATGTAACAGTGAATATGCTTTCATTTGAATTTATATAACAGCAACAGATCTTAATGTAATGTACCCTGAGCTACTAGAAAAAGAGACTGGGCAAATAGTCCTGGCTTTACTACTAATGTCTAAACAATAAGAACTAACTAAATAAATAAGTAAAATTATTTTTCTTTACAAATTAACTGGATACAATTGTACATGCCTATTCATTTGATTGTCATAATAGCAATGTAAAAATGATATATTTTTCCATAACTGTGTAAAATACAAATTTGTAACAAATATTAACTTAACATTTTTTCTTAAAAATATAAATATAAGGCAAAAATGTAACTTTGTATATTAACACAAATATAGATTACTAGTGATGCCTGCAATCATTTAAACTATTACTAAAAAGGTGTTGTAAGTTTTAAATGGCAAAATTTGGTTTAATTTTTTCATATTAATTCAATTTAAATGGCTATAAACAGAAAATAAAAGTCATTTAAATTCTATACAGTCTTAAAGCAGGGAGCATCTGTCAGCATAATAGACCCTTTAGCCTCCTGCTGGGCAAACTCGGCTAGCAGACAATTTAAAATTGACTGAGTTTGAGAAGAAGCAATTTTTCATACAAAAGCTGGCAGTTAAGAAGGAAAGATGTTTTTACCCTAATTGGATTGGATTTGGCCACTGGGATCTTTTCAATTCACCACAATAAATTTAGAAACCTTTTGTAAATTTATACCACTCAGGATTTTCATAGTTACCTGCTAAGTTGCCTAACTCAGCTGTTGGTGCTGACTCTGCTCTTTGCTGCTTTAATAGTCTGTTGCACTCTTTTTCTTGTGAGTCCATGAAGAATATAAGGGGGGAATCTAAGTTTATTTAGCAGCTGGTTGTCTCCTGCTGATGGCTGACAAAGGGACACCTCTGGAACACACTGTTTACTTTGCTTTCTTCTTAACTCATCCTGCTTATTTGAGGGTTTGTCTTATTGTTTGAGCCTGTCAGGAAAATAGCACATGCTTAAAGAGTTATTAATACAATTAGCATTCATTATAATTTTATGTCAATTGCTTATTCTTGGTTTATATTTTCTTAAAGCAACTGGAAAAATGATATTATTTTTGTAATTAAACCTATTATGATTAAATTAATATTAATACCTAAACTAATATTTATTTTTAATCCTGCAATGAAAATGATGATGCTTGGATATGTGCTTAGTTCAATACTTATTATGAATTGATTTTCCTTAAACTACAAACACATACTCTCTCTCACACACACACAATAATATAAACAAATGATTATTTTCATTGGTTTAATTTTCTTTTCTTTTTTGTTTTCGTTTTTAAATTTTGGCATATTATGGTACCAGATTTAAGTTCAATAAAATGCCCTTTCCCCCTCCCCCAAAAGTCTGAGTTTCCAGCATGACCATTCCCCCAGATGTGCACATCCACGTCATTATGTATGTAATATACCCGCCCCCTCCCCCGCCCCCCTGTCCAATACCCTATCACTGAGTACCTATGTGTCCACTTAATGCTGTCAGTGTAAGACCATTCTGGTGAGTATATTGGTGCTTGTTTTCCATTCTTGGATCTCCTTAATAGTATTGGTCCAGTTCAACCCAGGAAAATATAAGAGTGTGCTATAACACTGTCCTGTTTCTTAATCTGAATATACTCCATGTAACATATACACATTTTATTAATCCATTCATTGATTGATGAGCACTTGGGCGTTTCCACAGCCTTGCAATTATGATATTGTCTGCTATAAACATTCATGCAGGTGTCTTGTTTGTAGAGTGCATTGATCTTTTGGGTAATGCCCAGTAATGGGATTGCTGGATCAAATGTAGATCACTTTAACGCTTAAGGTATCTCCATATTGCCTTTCCACCAGAGGTTGAACTAGTTTGCAGTCTCACCAGCAAGTAGTGGAGTGTTTCCTCTCTTCCAATCAGGCAGCATTGTTATTGGAGACTTTTGAATAAAGGCCATTCTCACTGGAGTTAAGTGATATCTCATTGTGGTTTTGATTTGCATTTCCCTGATTGAGATGTTGAGCATTTTTTCATAATTTGTTGCCATCTTCATGTCCTTCTTTGAACCAAGTTTCTGTTCAAGTCCTTGCACCACTTTTAATAGGTTATGTGATTTTCTGCTGATTTCATGAGTTCTACAGTACGTAATTGTAGTCAAGAAGCTCAGAGGACCCTCGGGAAGATTCACTGCACAGGAAGACGTCACGACAGTGCAGTCCATCAGACTGACCAAATATCAGGGCCTACAAGAGTCCCTTCTAAGAGCTGTAAGATGAACGAAGCAATAAATACAAGGGATAAGCATTAAATAACAGCCAACTCCTCTAAGAGACTTTACAAGCAAGGAGAGACTGGCCCCATTCTCACTCGACTGAAACAAAAACAATGCCACCCTAGAATCTTATTCCCTGCAAAACTAAGTTTTTGTATATGAAGATAAATAAAGAATTCTCAGACAAGCAAAGTCTCAGAGAATTCAACCAAGATAGACCCAGCCCTACGAAGAAGTACAAACAGTGTTACACAGAAAATGTAATAAAAACTCACGAACATAAAAACAACCAACCCAAGATTAAAGGCCAGATATCAACTGGCTCAAGAGAGATAATCAAAGCAACAACATCCACCCAACAGAATCAATAATCTACCTTACCCTATCAGTTCTCTCATAAATGTGCAATGGCTAACTCTCACTTCAAGAGAATAGCTGCCTGTATGGAAGAAAAAATACAGGCCAATGTCTTAGCTCGTCTTCAGGAAACACATCTACCTCCAAGATGCATATGACAAAATAATAGGTGGAGAATCAGTATGTCCAAGCAATGGAAGCAAAGAAGGCTGGCGTGGCGAGTTCTAATTTCAGACAATTTAGGTAAATTTTAACAACAAAGTAGGAAAGCAAAGAGGTCATTATATAATGGTGAAGCACACTCAACAAGAAGTGATAACAATTTTAAATATAATATGCACCAACTTAGGTGCACCCAGATTCAAAAACAAACTTACTGAGTTAAGGCAAATGGATTACAAGCAACTCGTATATTTCATCGAGATTTTCAATCTCCCACTTTGATTTCTGGTCAAAGACAGATCCCCTTCCAAACCATGAAGAATTATATAAAGAATATTATATTGGTACTTTAAACAAATCTGGAACATTTGGTCTTACGTCATTTTACGGACATTCTTATTTTCCAATCACTGAATTATTTTCTTCTCACAGCTCTACGGGACATTTCTCTAGATTGTACCTATCCTTAGTACTGATCACAGTATAATTCTCAAGTAATTAAATATATATAATCTATTATCTATGATTTCTGCCAGTATCACATGTATATAAAAGTTAGTAAATCTAACCCTATAAAGAAACTACTATTATCAGTAAATAACGTGGAATAAACAACTCCTATTTAATATTATTCTCATAATGATATATTTGATCAATATGTGAAATTAAAAAAATTCTATGATAGATTTATAACACTAATGATGAGACAAGTTATCACTCTCTGGGACACAGCTAAAGCAGTTCTGAGAGGAAAGTTTATCTCCATAAACGCCTATAACCAAAAGTCAAAAAGATCACAAATAGACAATCTAATGAAACGACTCAAAGAGCTGGTTTAATTTTCTAATTTAAATAATTAGTGTAAGACCTAGTTGAATACACTTAATGATGATTTCTGTTTGTTATTGATTATATTTAAAAATTTCAATGTATATATACCCTCAAAAATAGTACTAAAATATCTTATTTGAAAATTTCATACTCTAATAGCTAGCATATTTCCATATAATTTTTTTAATTATATTTTTTCATTAATGTGGGTTGAAAAATAGCACCTGAATCAGGGGCAAAAATTGCCATATATATCAGAAAGAGGTTAAAGAATTGGGAGCCAGACCTCCTGAATGGGGCTAAGAAGTAGTTACACTAGTTCTTTTGTCCAGAAACATTATCTCCATCTTCACACATCCTCCTGAAGTTGTATGCATGGAACTCTAGAGAACAAGGAAGAGGAGAACTTCCGGAGTCTTCAAATAAGTAGAGTACCAAAAAACAACCAACCAAAACAAAACAAAAAACACTTTAAAAATTGAAAATATTGACAAAAGGGGTATATATATATATATGTCATGCTTGAGTGTAACGTCTGTCTATTTACAAAGCAAAATTACTGACCATCCATGTTTCTATTTGATCAAGGAAAAGGAGATTTGAGCAGAAATGTCAGGTAGGAGGGAAAAACCTCAGTAGACCGGAGTTTATTCTCAGAATCTGCTTTAGCAAGTTTGTGTGTTTCCTTTGAATCAAGTAGATGGAGTAGCTGGTAGCCAGGCATAAGTGATCTTGGCAATATCTTAGGTGAATACATAATATATTGCCCTAAATGAAACAGTTTTGAGAGTAAAATGTGTTGTTCTTTATAATTACTTGGAACAAACGACATAAACTGTTAGAGAACTAAGCAAACCACTCCTTACAGTTGCCTCACCACACTCCCACCTATCAAGCACTCACAAACACTCATTTTCTACCGCCTGCTTTCCCTTGAGCAAACTTCAGAGTCAGGTTTCTCTCCTGACTACAGGCCCCTTAACTTTTTTGCCCACAAGCTTGTATATGCACTGAACAGCTGAACCTACCACCTTATCTGCTATTTTGAGAATTGGCTGTTGAGAGCTGGACACTTTTCCTGTCAGATTCTGTTTAATTTCCTTTGCCCAACTTCTTACTTATTGCTTATTCTTTCCTATAAAATAAAAGACTTTTTCTTTCTTTCTTTCTTTTTTTTTTTTTTTTTTTTTTTTTTTTTTTTTTTTTTTTTTTTTTTTTTTGAGACAGGCTCTCACTTGGCCACCCAGGCTGCAGTGGAGTAGCACAATCATAGCTCACTGTAACCTTGAACTCTTGGGCTCCAAATATCCTCCCAGATAATTTATTGAAAAAAAATTTTTGTAGAGATGGTGTCTTGCTATGATGCCCACAGCTGGTCTCAAACTTCTCATCTCAAGTGATCTTACTGCCTGTGCCTCCCAAAGTGCTGGGATTACAGGTGTGAGCTACCATGCCTGGCCCTAGAGAAGATTTTTTCTGTTTGATTTTGAGATACTTGCCCTTCCTGTGCTTGGATGGTTTTCCCTATCGCAATAGTCTTTCCAATTAAACTCTCTTCATTTAAATCCAAATTTGTTTTTACTTGACACATCCAAAACTTGCTGTTGGTGCTACTTCCCTTGCAATGGAGTGAAGCCCTTTTGAGCACTCTGAAGAACACACTCCCTTGCCCCAGGGGACATTAACAGAGAGATGGTAGCATAAATGAATGGGGCATCACGTTTATAAACTCAACTTAGGAAAAAATATCTTACATTTTTATTAGTCTTCCAGACTGTATCTCCAGACTTGTTAGAATAAGAAAAGGTGAAGTATAAGACCAGTCCACATCACCTAACTACCTACCACTAGTATTTTTCAAATTCTTGACCATGTTTGAGTCGGTGGGTGAGGGAGATGGAAGGGAAGAATGTGGGATGATTAAATCTAAAATAAACAGAAAATTGAAGTGTTAAATTGAACTAAACTGAACTAGGGACTTTATAACTACTTTAAGTGACAGTAAAACTATCTTCCCAAGATATTTCTGACGGATATGAAATGGAGATTAAACACATTATGATTGAATGTCGTATTGAGTAATCATTAAAATTATTTCTTTTTAAAATATCCACCGAGTTAAGACTGGTTGGTAGTTATATTTACTTGCTATATCAACTAGAGTACTTTCAGCAAAAAAATGAAAGAATGCCTGATTTACAGTGGCTTAAACGAGAATTCCATTGAGTTAGCCTATGTACCAGAAGTCTACAGGAAGGTAAAGCAAGGCTAGATCAGAGGCTCAATGATATTATAAAGGACAGAGCTCTTCCTTTCTTTCTGATTTT